CTAACAGTTTAAGCTTTTGGAATGGATTGGTAAACTAACATGGTATCAGGGCGGAAGATCCTGAGTTCAAACTCCCGTAATTGCACTCTTTATCCTCATTTAAAAATTGTCATGTGTTGGGTTTTTAATATATCCCGAGCTTAAATATTCACGTGTTGGGCTTTCCAATTAATTTACCCACACGATTACCCATTATCCAGCCCACACGTGAGAGAGAGTGTTAAAGTATAAAACTATTGTTATTAATAAAAGTGTACCTGGTAACGGGGAAGCATCTGCAATGACATGAGGCAAATCAAAGTTAATGCCCTTAATTGAGGGGTATTTAGAGACGATCATGCTAAGCACGCCTCCGGTGCCGCCGCCGACATCAACCAGCGATGTGAGGCCTTCGAAGCCTTTGTAGGTTTCGAGAATCTTCTTCATGGTAATGGTGGAGTGGTCGAACATTCCCTTGTTGAAAATCTTGTTGAATCTTGGATCTGTTCCATGGTAATCAAATGAGGTCATTCCATGAGCCTTGTTGAATGGAATTCCACCTTCAAGAATTGTATCTTTCAAGTGGTACCTGCACATTCAATTAACTCCACAATCATGTCATTTCCTTTTCAACCCACGGAAGTATTATGGTCCTAATATTTGACTTCTTTCTTTTTCGTTTTCTTTTGTTTTTTCCCCTTTTTCGGGTGAAACATCAATTTTCTTCTAGAGCTTCAATGTTGTCTATGTCCTACTATTAAAATCTTTTTTTTTTTTTTTTGGTCCGGATGTTAAATCATTATGTAGAACATCAATTTTCTTCTAGAGCTAAGGCCTATAACCTATTTTAGAGAATAATCAACAATACTGTTAATTTATTAATAGTACTAATAAAAATAATAATAATCGTTGCTAATTTCACTAAAAAAAAATGATCAGGTGGCAATTGTTATAATATTAAAAGACTTAATTGACAGTAAAATTAATAAAGTAGAGTAATCAAAACTTATTGTTAAAAAAAATATTAATACTCTAAGAAACCAATCTTCGACAATTAAGAGGACATTTAGTAGAGGGATTCGTTCCCTGATTCGAATCATGATTCGTAGTTCGCTACAGTATTTTTTCTCACAAAAAATACATGTAAATAAAAAATAGTTCAAATCACATAATTTAAATCCTCTAACAAAACGTCTTGTGGTAAGAGGGCAAGCAGATTATAAACTGAATAAAGATTGCGGAAGCACCGCTATATATGCACTATTGGAGAACAACGGAGGCTAATCATTGATGTACCCAGACAAGACTCGGTGGTACCCAGTTGGGTAAGATTTAGTGGTTACCATTTAATTCCTTTAAAACCATTGTGTGTGGATGGTTCCAATTAATTTCCCACTATGAATAAATAATGTGAGGCATAAATATAAATATATGAATGAATATTGTTTAAGCAAAAAACTGTATAACATGCCAAAGTTTGCCGTAGTCTCTCTCAGCAGCCCTATTTGTTTACTAAATATAAAAAGGAGCTCTACTTGTAAGGTTCACGTGAATTCTATAATGTAAGGAGTAAGGTTCACTTTTTTGTGTTTACGAAGATGAATCTCGATCCGGACAAAAATATTTTTTCAAATCTCGTTCATTTCACTAATTAAAAAGTTCTCATAAACAATCACTTTTAATATTTTTATTATAGTAAAAAATTCTCATATAAAATTACATTTAAATTTAAATTAAAAACTCAAATTAACAAAATAATCAGCCCTCAATCTCTCTTTTTATTTATTTTTTCCTCCCTTATAATTATTAATTTAATTTTGCCTCCAGACGTGCAGCTTAAACAACCCCGCATGGGCCATGATATCAACATTCTATATAATTACATTTTTTTTTTATTTTGCTGAAGGGTGTATGATTACATACATGTACCTAAATGGTTGTTTGAGAATGAATATGATTTATTTCTCAAAAAAAAAAATAATTGTTAGAGTAGTTGTGGGTCCAATTAGTGGTTGAATCTTCTCCCCTATGGTTTCACATACCACTTTTAAAATTTATTTATTTATTTTACTTAACTTAATCTCTCTTGTAGATATTCCTCCAAAAGAAAAAAAGATCCCCTCTCTACACGCAAATACCAAAAAGCAGTATTTTTCCAACTAAAAATCAGAGCTGTTGGTTTGCTGTACCTATCCAACTACTAACACAACAACAAACAAACAAACAAAAACACAACAAATATATAAATAAATAAATAAATCTTTCTTATCCTAAAATTATAAAAAAAAAATTCATCGATATTTATACAATTTCAAACAGTTAAATTTTGATTAAATTTACAAACGATTTATTGAGAGCTTTTCACTGTAGTAAAAAAAGTTAGATGTGATATTTTTTAAAAACTTTTTACTGTAAAAACTTAAAACTGAAAACTCAAATCAGTAAAGTGAACGAGAACTTTGTAGTTCAAAATGATTTCCAAGGTTCAAAATCAAACTATATTGTACGCCTCGAGTTTTCTTTTTCCTCCGCCTCATATTTTTCAGATAGAAAAAAAATAAAAAACAACTTACCAGCTCTCCATGAGGACCTTGTCCTGATTCATGAGACAGAGAGAGCCAATAGAGACGCCATCTTCATTCTTTGTCAAGTACTTACACACCGGCCCCAGTCCGTACAGCCGCTCGACCTTGCCGTCGGGAAGATTCCTCAGCGAGTACGTGAGGATGGAGTAGGAGGCCAGGAGTCTCAAGACGCGGTCGAGCATCACCGGCGCGCCGGGGTTTTTCGTCGGGAGTTGGGAGACGACGTCGGAAGGTGAGAGGTACGCGCCGGGGCCGGCCTTCGCCATGATCTCCAAGAGGTCGAGATCTAGGGCGGTCTTGAGGACCATGGGCAGCACGGAGGCGCTGGCCAGCTGCATGGCGAAGAGGTTGGCTTCCTCGTCGGAGACTTGCGTCGGAGTCATCTGGGTTTCGCCTGTGGACCCCATCTTCTTCTTATATGTTTCTCTCGATTAGTTTTGTCTCTCTTTGAATCGATCGAACAAGAAATTAAGAATGTTTGAAATGAGACGAGAGGAGTGGAGAGGATTTGGAAATTAAGATGGGTGTACGCTAAGTGGGGAATTTCAATTTATATGGTGTTCTTTTCACCCACCTTTGACGTTGATTGGTTATTGCGGTGGACCCCGGCCATGCATGAGGGGACACGTCACCCATAACACTACATTTGTATTTGCTAATGCATACATCACTATGGCTTATATTATATGTTCGTACTACTCTGTCTTTTAATTAGGCACGCGGCTATTTATAATCAATGCGGATGAATAACTACCACAGACAAAAATTATAGCTCTCATGGTGAACCACATGTGATTCGAGTTAAGATGATTTTTTTAGACTTCTTAAATACTAATCCACAGAAATATAAGTGTGTGTTTGGAGTAAGGATCCGTGTCATGATTCGGATCATAATTCATAACCCGTTACAATGTTTTCTCTCACAAAAAACACATGTAAACTGATAATAATTCTGAATTATGATTCTAAATCTATAAACCAAACGTCATTTTTTTCATTTCGTTTATAGCCTTAATAGATATTGTCAAGGTAGTTGTCGGATTGAGGAAGTTAATGTTGATGAAAAAAAAAAAAAAAAAATTCAAGGAATCTTACTACCGGCTAAAGTTTTAATTTACTTTCACACCATGTATTGTATGGTCAATATATCATGAATAACATTGTTTTCATTATTGTCTTGACGTTTAATAAAGGCTTAAGCTCTTCTCATGAATAATGGTTGGTGAGGGTTTTAGTTGCTCCGCGTTTTGAGTAACTTTCTTTTTGTCATGAGTCAAACAACGTTTTCTTTGAGAATTATTTTAGTAAGATCGTAGAAAAACATGGCATCAATATTGCATGATATTAATAAATTATCACTTTTAATAATATTTTTTGAAAATTGTGTGGTTTAGTTGGTTAAAATTATAGTATATGCCTTGACATTTAAAACTTCCCACTACTATGATATAGATATCCTATTAAGAAGTCTCATATTTTTCATATGAAAAATTAATATTACATTCTTATTGGTTTTGTTTTTTGAATATTTGTCTTGCTTTTGACTTAATTGTAACCTAGATTATATATAATGGCATACATATTGAATGATATTTCAAGCCGTAAAGATACTTTGAATTTTGGAAAACATTTGAGTGTGACAGTTGGCATGCATACATGTAAATTAACAAGTCTAGAGTATATGTGAAACTCTTTTTTTTTTCTTATAAAAGTTGTCTTCCAATTATGAGTCTACGACTTCCATATTGCTATATGTCTTCTTATTGCTAATTAAGCAACTTTATTTTTAGTTTTTTTTTATTTTTTTAATGAAATAACTTCATGGTTAAACAAATAGCGGTATTCTTTTATAATTTTCAGGCATAAAAATTTCAAACAAAGAAAGGGCAATAAAAAAATAAAATAAAAAAATCAGGCAAAGAAGCAACAACTGATCGATGATCACAACAAGAAACTGAAATAGTTTTTTGGTCGGGAAGCGACAAATTAACATTAAACCAAATTTTAAAGGACATCTTTAATACTATAGTTTATATCAACAATAAGTCTAGTTTATTGTAATGTATTAGGTACATATGACGAATGAGTGGTTCTCTTAATATGTCAATAAATTGAGAGACCTATGTTTATGAACATTATCATATAAAAGAATTCTATCTTGTGTTTGAAGCTCTTTTTACTATATTATATACATATATGTATATATACAAGCATGTATATATGTATATCTAGTACTGTATGCGTTGACCTGTCTCTCTAAGCACTTAATTTCTTGGTAATTAATGAATAAAGCATTGTTAGGGTCAAAATCAGCACCACAATCATCACCGTACATGTGGACAACATTTGGAGAAATAAGTCAACTCAAATCGACTGAAATCAGCTAGATATGACATCGACTCGAGATGACTAGAGAAGACAGGCGACAGAAGGAGTATAAGAACCACCACCGATATTTAAGAAAGGAGATTTCTTGGAGGCCACGAAGATTATCTCAGTCAAATCCTACATTAAAGGGTCAAATAGGATCAATAATGAAGAAGAAAGATACTATAAAGCAAATATGGAAACAATGAAAGGGAAATCAACTCAAGAAAAAGGAAAACCACCCAATCCAAAGAAAAAAGAAAGTAGGGGATCTTCTCCTATAAATAAGGGAGGGAGATCACGAATCAAATATCTTCCGACCCTTCTTTATGCTCAAACCCCCTCACATTCTCATACTTCATTGTAAGTGTAATTTTCTTAAGATATAACGAAGTCTTGAGACCCTACAGTGGAATAGTGCCCTAGGATTATCAGGAGAATCACTATACATCCGTGTATCAATTTATTTTCCTACAATTACATTCTCGTTCTAGCGATATATCGACTCAAATTGATTCGAATCGACTCACCAACGCGATTGACTTCCGGGAGTAGCCACTGGCCCTCTAAATTAATTTAATTGTAGAATCTCACCTCTAGCTACTCTATTTTTGTCTCTGGTTTTATTAAAATTATTATCAGAAAACCGAAGATAGTTATATGTTATATGCAGATAAGTGGACCAGATGATATATGATAGGAAACCATATATATTTTTGTGTGTATAATATATTTATATATATTCTTAAACCTTAAACAACAATTATGCCGGTGTAATATATATCGGAATTGACAATTTAATTAATTATTTTGTATTTTAGTTAACTCATTTAAGGTGGTTTTGTCATGTAATGGGAGTAATTAGTCTCTTGTCAATGGGGGCAAATGCTGCTGTTAGTAATAGTACCACATAATAGGTAGCGACAAGAATAAAATTTTCACTTGAAAAAGGAGTATTTTTGTAACATAAACTAATTTGATGTATTATTGCGTGTTTGTGTGTGTGTGTGTGTGTCGTTATTCTACCAAATAAAGGGTTAGAGTTGAAATGATCCATCAATAGCCTAATAATCTTGCTATTGAGACGTTGAGTTTCAATTAATACCCCCAAATGAAGTTATTTAATTAATTATATATCTTAGCTTTTGAAATTATCACAATTCACAACTAACCTCTGACTGTTTGATTATGGATTTGTAATTTGTCTTCAAAACGCAAGCTTAAAGAATCTCCTACAAGTCGTAATGAACCTTTTCTTTGAGGACAATTGTCGTCTTGTATACAAACAGAAATAGGTGGGGGTATTGATTAATCAAAGGATGTGGGATAACCGATAACATCTCACCTAATTTATGTGGAAAATGAAAGGTGGGAAGCCACTACTTGACCCCACCTTTTTTTTTAAAAAAAAAAAGAGAGAATTTTTTTTTTAATAGAACACAAGAAATTATTCTTGTGCTATTATGCAGTTTCAATCATAAAATTTTTAATAAATTTTATAAAATTCATATTTTTTAATAAATTTTATTATGATTTGACTATTTAAAATTATATTATCCAATAAGGATAATTTTTGTAACATAAATTTCTCTCTCAAAAAAAAAAGGAGAGAAACCCAAAAAATTTCAGAGTCAGACATCTAGAGACGTTACGTCCTTCACCAACTCCACCAACCCCGCCTTTTTTTTCGAGAATTAATTATTTATGTCTCATTCATTTCACCGATTTGAGTTTTTAATTTTAAATTTTTATAGTTAAAAAATTCTTAAAAAATATCATATTTAACTTTTTCTACTATAGTAAAAAGCTCTTAAAAAATATCACATCTCAACTCAAATTAAAAACTCAAATCGACAAAGTAAACGAGACCTTAATAACATTCCTGACCTTCATGATTAGCTAGAAATCATACGCCCACAATCTGACTTCTGTATGATTTTTGATTTTTTGTCTGCCCACATCAAGTCAATACTATAATTAATTCGGTATGATTATTGATTGATACTTGTTTACTTATTATTGTCTCTGTTAGTTAAAATATGTGCAAATATAATCTCAGAGTCAGAAATATTTGTGTGTGTGGTGTGGGGAAGAACTTGTTTAGGTGAGGCATAATTAAAAAAAAAATCTTCAAGTACGCCAAATGAATTTGGCTGGGTTTTTAAGTTGGATTATTTACAAAAATAACACTTATTACAACAATTATTTTATAACTCACACTATTTTTTATACTTTTATTTTTAACACTGTCACCACGTCAATAATTGAGAGACCCATGAAATTATAAATTATCAAAATTATACTTGATAAAATTTAATATCATATTTCAATTTTTCCCTTCAATTTCTCTCTCTTCATTTGAATTCTCTCATTTTTCTCTTCCTGTCTTCCTCTATCATCATTTATACTCTCATATTTTCTCTTTTTTCTTTCTCATATCTCTCCTCACTTGAACAAGTTCCAGATAAGAGATCTTTAAAAAAAAAGGTATGGGTTATGATTATTAAGGAACCAATTAGTCAAATTTGTTTCCGATTTATAATAAGTGGAATATCAGTTAAATTTGCTCTGTGAGCATCATTATGTTTGCAAAACAATAATTTTAGTTTACTAGGTAGTCATTACGATAATGACCAACGGTAATTATCGTTGTCTTATATAATAATTATCATAATTACTAGTGGTCATAATGGTGATTACTAACATCATATGCTAAACTTCTTTTTTCATAAGTGGGATTTTAATGCTAAATTCACTTTCAAATTAGTTATCTTAGATACACAATTCAAATATTCTTTTTTCAAGATTTCTTATTTTAGATTTGCACGTTATGCATGTTTTGTAGGATGTTGAAAGGCTATGAGAATACATGTTAGATTCTTGATGGAAATTAAAATCTGTAATGCAAAGATAACACGTAAAGAGGTAAGAAGTGGCTCTTGACTTATTAGTTTATATTTAATTTTTTCAACCTCGGCCGCCGGATCGGTTCCTATAAAATTGAGCTCCAAAATTTTTGTGGAACATTGTGGTATAATTTAATTTTATATTACATTACTATGGAGATATAACTAAAATATTTGAAAAATACAAATTAGAAATTTCAATTGGGCGAAAAGAGTTCACTTGAAAAATTA